TGGATTTCGAATTTCCGAATATCCAAATGCCAGATATGTTCACAGCGGAGTTAGTTTAGATGTTATAAGTGTGGGGCATTTTACTTAATATCGAGTAAGCCCCGTGCTTGTCTGTCGTCAAATTTGACGCTAGCGTTTCGAATTGTCGCCGATCGAATCTACAGTGTTTATAGGAGGCCGCAGCCTTAGCGAGTTTTTGTTCTGGCAAACGTCATCGCGCAAGAATTCTATCGAAATAATTGTTGTTGTCATAGTTTTTATTTGCGGACGTTCCGGCTGTAAACTTTATTGTGATAGTTTCGTAGATGCTGCTCGCTTAGAATCACTTGTTTGTAACGTAATTGCCAATTATTTGGATCACGACTCTGTAATTTAAATAAAAGACTGTAACGGTTTAAAACGCGATATATATTGGTTAAACTTATTTCAAAAATATTTTAAAAACGGCCCGACGTTTCGGATACTTTGAAGCGGCCGCGGCCACGGGGTTAACTTAGACACCCGAGTCTAAGTTAACTAATATATACGGAAGTTTAACTAATAGGTATATATTGCGTTTTAAAGCGTTAAAGTGTTTTATTTAAATCTGCACTAGGTACAGTTCATGTAAACTACACAGAGTATTTGACTCTGTAATTGTTATTTTTGTACTTACGTATACATACATCTCAATATAAAGGCATCTCTGTCATTATCATCAACCCTTGATTAGTCCCAGAGCTGGGACTTAGCTTTAAAAGGGCCATATCCTATTGGTAGATGATTCATGATGAATTTGTAGCTTCAGGGTCTTTGTGTTTTATTAAGATGTTTTCCTCCATCGGTATCTCTATGTTATTATTTATTCTAAGTTGTTTGGACAATAGAGTAAGATAATGTCATATGTTTCTAAGCAGATTCGATACGCTAAGTAGGCGTAGGACCCCCCGTGACCACAGCTGCGGCAACGCATCCGATACGTCAGTTCGAAACTAAAATATTTCGCGTTTCAAACCGTTAAAATCTTATATAAATTGATTAAATACCTAGTTCAAGTCCCGCCTGTCTTAAGTTTCGAATAATGACTTTTCTCATTCGGTACATATTGATATGTCTCTACCGTATTGACGAGTGCAAACATTTTCATATTATCAGAGTGAATAAGTAACTAGATACCTTTTTGCGCATGAGACAGATACATGTGTGTCTTTTTAAAGACTTGATCATTCTTTTTATGCCCTGAGAAAAATATTTTTCTTCCGGGTTTCGAACACGGCACCACTCGGACGTAACTACGGAGGCCAAGGAGTGTAATTGCGTAGAATATTTAGATGTTATCGTGTAGTTATAAAACACATTAACATAATATGAAGACGTAATATCAAATATTGTTTTTTTGTGTTTAACGAAATATTAATCAATTATTTAGGTACAATACCTATTTAAACGTGTGTCGAGGCAGGAGAGAGGTCCTGGCTTCGTATCCCGGGGAAACAATAATTTACTTCGGTCGGGCAGGGCACAGAAGTTTGATCAACTACTTGCCTGTATAAAAAACCCGATAGTGAAACAAACACTGAAATGTGTTCGCCCCAAACCCCCACATGGGGAGACGGGATTTCACTTCTTTTATGCATTTTAATAATAAAACGTGATGCTATAAACTTTTTACTAACATACAACTGATAAAATTACAAATATACATACCGCATTCAATTCCTACAATTCAATATTTTGACAGCCGGTGCAATGTCAATACTCAATAGAAAAACAGATCACATAAAACCTTCACATAATCAATCACTAACACTTGTGTAGCCTAAAGTTTATTTTTAAGAACAAATATCGTATTTTCGAATAATAAATCTCGTCTCGTCTAGACGCGTACACCTGCGCTCGCGCACGAAATCGCGCACCACACTGATTCAATGCTGCTCTGTCCTTTCCGTCGAGGTGGGAGTCGCAAGTAATTGTACTGTAGCCTAGTGCCTTGTGCTGAGCCTGATTTGGTTTTAAATGCCTAGGAAATTGTCCATGAGTTATGATAGAGTTATTAAAAATAGATAATAGTTCAACAGTTGATCGCTAAGCTTTATAATCCTTGGGTTCGATTTCCGGGGAACGATAAATTGAGATATATAAACATAGTAATGACTGAATTTCTCTATGACAAAATTGTTTTTACAAATTTATCTTGGTATTCAATTAATGTATTTAAGACGTGTAGTTTTTTTATTCGTGAATTAAATTTAGACATTCTGGAGTCAGAAAAAATATGTTAAATGAAAAAAAAAAATTTTTTTTTGTTGTTAAATAAAATGATTTTAACTTTCACTAATTTTAATTAATTTAAAATACACGCCGACGTTCCGGATGCTTTGCAGCAGCTATGCTCGCGGGAGGCTGGAGATAGAGGGTGTAAAATATGTTAACTGATATATTTCGCGTTTTAACCCGTTTGAAGTGTTTTATTGTAATGTACTACTACTAAACAGACGATATTTATTTGGCAAACCAAATTATCCATAACTTTATAAACAAAAATACTCCTTATGGTTAAAAGACGCAAAGTAGCGTCCGTTAATAATTGCAATTATGAAAAGAAAGACAAGGTATGGAACGAGATTTTTAAATTATTGTTTAATTGCTGTTAAAATTGTAAGGGCTTCATAAATGGTTACAAAGCCTATTCAATTGAATGGTAACTGCATGGCGTAAGTGTGATGGTCTCAGTTTGTTCAATTTTTTCCAATTTTAGAATTCAATACTTCAATATCAAAGCCAAAAAACCTGTATTCAGAGTAACTAGATATAACATTTAGAATGTAACAGTGATAAATAAAAGACTCTAAATTCGTTATTACTACTACTTCTTAAGTCGTAGAACCTACAAAAAGAACGGGCAAGAAACTCGCTGCCACTCCTTCTATCGTCATGTTTCACCCCATAAGTTATCTATTTCTCCTTCTCAAACACGTTTTAAAAGGTAAGAAGAATTAAAAGGTAATTTACAATTACCGTTTGTATATGTTGCAACAAATATTTCTGTATTGTGTGACTTTTAATTTACTTGTTACTATGCGGGTGCATTTTAGAACAACGAGGATTCCTCAAATACTAACAGAGTTCGAAGTGGCAAAGAATATTTATATTAATTAGAACCTGTTTTTCATTTATCATGTGATAACTATGTACTATGAAAAAGAATATGGCTTTGCCAAATGTGAAAAAGGAATATCGGCAAACACACTTCTGTGTGTGCAAAAGGTTGTCCAATTTCATGTGGCCTTTCGGCGATACGCGCGAACACCTTCTTCTGATGTCTCCAGGAATAAGTTAAGACCTGTCACCCTTGCTATTGCATTAGGCAACATCTTTAACCAGTCATATATATTTAATGCTTATATCCACATCTAGCTTAACCTTCATTCTGTTTGTTTCTCATGAAAAATAACGTATTATAAGTGTAGTAACCATTCAGTCTTCATTAAATAATGCTTTTTAACGGTATAAAACGTGTCTATGTAAAAAAAATCATTTGTTTGTTAAACGTTTTGAGATCTATCTAAATTTAAAGACGTTTTTTAAGTTTATCTAACCACGGCCGCTGCAAAGCATCCGAAACGTCGGGCCGAAGTTAAAATATTCCAAATAGTTTAACAATTATTTTTAACCGTCAGTGTTTTTTTTAATTATTTTTCTATTTAAAAATTTCTACATTACATAACTGTCGCGTGCTTCGTCACTTTTAAAGAATGGTGAAGTAGTGACATTTCATTATAATTCGAAATTGAGATTATTTTCCATTTCCAATAATTCTAAGTAAAATACGCCAATTAGGTAATCACGACGAACCTTGATATAACTATTAAATTAATAATTAAAAACTGTAGCTGTAAAAACCTCTAATCTTTGTCGGCTTAGATGAATTATGCAAGAATTTAACAGTTTATTATGAGTCGCAATGGCTTCATTTGACACGTTATAGAGTTACAATGCGTGTGTTACTTTGTTTTCTGTTTTTTTCATTTCAACTTGTATTTATTTCGTCACAAAATATATCAGATTTGATTAACTTTACCGCAAGTTTAATTTATGATTTTCAATATGAACTGCACGAGGCTTTGGAGGAATGTAAGTACATATTTATAACTAAAATGTATGTAATAAGTTTCTTAATAAAAGTGCTATGTTAACGTAATTTGTTTAACCTAAGTATGTAACTACTCCCGTAACCTACAAACAGTATTTAAATACAATTATTTTGAGCTACCGATCAATATCTATAGCAACAGCACGGAACGCTGACGATGCCGGTTCAAGTCCTGCCCGAGTCGAAAATGTTTTCAATTTATTTTCGATTTGTAAATTAGATTGAAAAACCGATGACGCAGGCGGGATTTGAACCGTGATTTTTTTAAATATATACTAGCTATGTCAGCGACTTTGTCCGCTTGGAATATTGATTTTGGGCGTCTAAATTTGTTTTTGCAACCTCTCTTTATTTTTATAAGCTTAAGCTGTTACCTACTTACACTTACAATAATTTTTAATTCGACTAATAGTTCATGAGATTACCGCGTTTAAACATACAGACAAGCAAAAAACTCTTCAGCTGTATATATTAGTATAGATAATGCCACGTGTGAAAAATAGTGAAGTGTTGTGTGTTTCAATTTTTCCTCGGAACTCGAACCGATACATACTAATCTCATCAACTGAAAATGTTTTACCACTTAACCACACTGTTAAACGACCTATAATTACATATATTCTACAGATGCGTCATTGTTGTTGTAAAATGATAATATTTTTTTGTTTATTCATTTTTTTAAAGTGTCCACAAGCGACCGTTTATTCTTGTTTGTGTCGGACACTTAATTTTGCATTAATACAGTGACACTGTTATAGTTAAGACGTACCCAACTTAAGGAACGTTAAATGTTTTTTTACTGTCGTTAAAAATATTGTGGTAAAAGGAATCCGGAAAAAATCTGTGTCTACGTATTAACGATTCAAGAATGGATAAAATTGTTTTATTATGTTTGGTGTCAATTGGCAATGTTTGCACTGAACATAGTACGAGACAGACGGAAGGGTATCCAGCAGGATTCCTGGCTAATTGTGAGTGATGGTTATAAAACAATTTTAACGGTATAAAACGCGAATCGTATTTATTAACTTATTAACAAATTATTTAAACTACAGCCCGATGTTGAGTAAGATAAGTAATAGATTTCGCGTTTTAAACCGTTACTCGTGTAAACTACAGAATTTACCAGTGTGAGTAGAGGTTTTCTATAAGCTTTTAAGACGGGTCCTGTGTGTAGCTCAGTGGAACACAGAACGAAAAGGTCGTTAGTTCGATTGTATGTTATCAAGATTTATCGATCTAGAATAGATTTTAAATTTTAAGAGAAATATCAGCTGTGTCTCTATTACTGTAATCCTATTTTTAAACCGAAACGAAAAATGGTACTTCGCTATGTAAAGCTGAGGAGTTTGTTTGTTTCTTTAAACGCGCTTATCTCAGGAACTACTGGTTCAAATTGAAAAATTATTTTTGTGTTGGTTAGAGCATTTACTGAGAAAGGATTGTGGCTATAAAAACTGGTTTGACTGCGACTAATAGAAGCGAAAAAACAGCGGGAACAACGGGGAAAATTATTCATCCTTGTGGGTTTCCGATGCGTACGCTGCGAAAACGCTTCAAGATACCCAAAAAATGCCAGCGACAGAATGAGTTTATCTTTAGGATTCATTTGAAAGAACGACAGGGTGCGAATGACGGGGGGGGGGCCCCCTTTATTGGGGGGGGGGGGGGTTTTTCAAAAAAAATGTTGATGCCCAAAATCAATATTCTAAGCGGGGGAGGTCGCTGACACAGCTAGCCTAACATATTATTATTAAACAAAACATAAGCTTTTAGAAATCAAATTAACGACTAGAGATTATTAGCGATTACCAGAACGAACTTGCTCGTCAAACTATTTTGTCTTTTAGGCCACCTCGTATATCAAGATCAATGTCAGCCATTGGTTATGGACGTCGAGTGAAAGCGATATAGGTTTTTATATCGTCGTTTAAATGCTTAACGCGAAGTCTCGTGAAAATGTAACAGTAAATCAAATTCCTATTAAGTCCTATTGACTAGGTCAAACCCATTTAAATGAAATACTTTAACGGTTTAAAACGCGAAATATTTTAGTTAAACTTGTTTGAAACTTATTTTTAACTACGGCCCGACGTTTCGGACGCTTTGCAGCAGCCGTGGTGCTGCAAAGTGCGTGGTCACGGGAAGCTTCTCCCCGTGACCACAGCTAATTTTAACGTTCAAATGTGTACTACTCGCGTAAACTAAAGACACACGAATAAACACGTTTCCCGACTGTAGAGAAGTCTATTTCTCTCTAGACTTTAAACTACTAAACAGATTCAAATGTATTATAAGATAGAGGATAAAGAAGAATCAACGATATACATATTTTTTTGTACCGTGAAGCGTTTTCCCCATTTCGTCCCTGTTGTTTCCCTCCTTTTAATCGCTTGATGTTTTATAGCCTAACGCCTTCTTCGATAAATGCTGACTCTAACGCAAATAGTATTTTTCAATTTGAACCAGTGGTACCTGTAACTTTAACTTATTTATGCAAATTTATGCAACTTAAGCTTCATTTATTTTTCAAGAAACTTAACATATACATGGTGTATTTGTTAAGTTTCTTGAAATAATCAATTTAAAGTAAGAGAAGACGGTTTATGATATAAAGGTGCATTTTTAAAAACGTTACATATATACAATAGTAAGTTTATACATTTACTACTTTAATATGTAAGTTCACACATTTCATAGTAGATACAAGAAAAAAATAGTCCACGGATTTAAAATTGACTGTAGTGGAAGAAGAACAGATTCGTTTCTTTTATAGATACACTAACTATAGCCACACAATATTGTCTGTTAAAATTTTGCTCCTTCTTACTTAATACATTTATCCAGGCTTTATTTTTAAAATTTGCAATAAATTTAATATATTATCTGCCTTATGGTAAATCAATTTATTTTTTACTTCCAAAATGTTTATATTACGTGAGAAAATAGGGTAAAACAAGAATAACGCATTATTTCAACCGTGTTTTAGTAAATAAGGATGGTAATTCGTAAGTACACAGGCAAAGGAACAAATATTAAAAAGGAAATGCCTTAAAAGTGTTAGCTTAAGATAAATATCAGTCAAGGTATATCATGATAAGTCAAAAGGAAACTAAGAAAAATATTGTCAGGGTCAAGAACGTTGACAGGGGTCGCGGGTCAGTTGGTGACGCCGATATGTAATATGGACAAAACGCTTCTAGAAATCTAGACTGTAGAATAATTCTTCTATTATAATTCTGTGGGTATTTCCACTGTAAACAAGGCGAACGATTTTTCCGAGACAATTCGCGTTCAGGTTCCAAAAATGGCTGGGGTATTATTTCCTTCCTTCCTTTTCCTTAACGCCATGCTTGTATTGTGTACTATTATAGTATATAATATAAATGTGCATACAAAAAATATCTAAATATTTATCTTGTGTGGTTGATATCTCGTCCATTCGCTAAACGTTTTTCTATTGTTTCTCCAGCATTTGAAGCCGGGACATCTACAACAACATATAACATAGTGTCCTGTGTCCGTTTTATTAATTTTATTTCAAGCAGATCAGACTTCTGTGCCCTACCCAAGACAATCTAATGTTTTCCCGGTTATCCGAAACCAGGTCTCTAGCGCTCAACGCAATGTTAGGCAACATGTTTAACCATTTAGCTACAGCCTCTGTAGCTAAAGTCTAGGGAACTTAAGCTTATTAAGTATTGTCTGTAGCGCGTGTAATTCACATTTAATAAAACACTTACTGCCAGCGTATTGTGAATTTATTATTATAACAGGACAAAAAGAAATTGAAAGTTGAAGGTAAATAATAAATATGTACACTTATTTTTCAAGACCTTGATTAAGTCAGTCAGTAACTTCCTTTACAATTTAGCATCGGAATTTTAAATGAAAGTTTATGTTGCTTCCTGGATGTACGTCTTACCGTCTACGGGTTGAGATTAAATATTAATATATAAACATATGATATAAAACAATTTTAACGGTTTAAAAAAGGAATATACTAATATATTCAATTGAAGTGTTTTATTTTACTACTAGCTGTGTGCTGACACATTGTTTTTTCATTTTGGGCATGAAAATTTGTTTTTGCAAACTTTCTCCTCATTTTTAGAATTTTTATCCGTTACCTTCGACGTCACCCGGGTGACATTGTTCTTGCAAGTTAATCTCAAAATATAGACATATAGTGTCGCGGACATTTTTTAGATCGTTTAAAAAGGAATTATATTTACAAACATATTTTTTGCGAACCTTAAACCGTTTTCGGCGCGTACGCAGCGGTACCCACAAAGCTTTTTCACATTGCCCGTTGTAACTTCGCTCCTATGAGTCACAGCGTAATGTTTTATAGCCTAAACCTTCAAGTAGTTCAAGAGATTAGCGCGATCAAAGAAACTCCTCAGCTTTATATATTAGTATAGATTGTTAAGTCTTAGGAATGAGAATTATAAACATTGTGGTTTGTCTACGTTAACGTGTTCAGGTTTGAACGTGTTTTTTTTTTTACCTCAGGTCCAGGAACGAACAAAGAAGCAATCATCACAAAGAAGAGTCTCAAGTACCTCTCAATTGTCGTACAGAGTGGAGAAGGATTAACTGCAAGACATAGGAAATACAACTATTACCAAACCAGCGAACTTGCCAAAGATCCAGACTTAGACTTTAATAGGACTACCCTCTTATATGTGGGGGGATATTTGGACAGTCCTAGTTTTTTTGTAGCTAGGACGATCGGCTTAGTATATAATAGTTTAGGATACAACGTGCTATTGCTTGACACTAATATGTTTACTACCATGGAATATCCAAGGTAACTAAAATACTTATAACTGTACTGTACTTTTAATATATTAAAAAAAAAGCGTGAGAGATGTATATATCGATATGTTGAAAATGCGACAATGCCTTGTAGGATTTGGTACCTCAATTGGTTAGACAGCACGGAACGCAGTGAATGCCGGCAGAAGTCCTGTTATCGTATTTTTTTTTCAATGTAAATATATTTTTTATAGCAAGTATAAAACGGTTTAAAACGCGATTTACATTAGTTGCTCAAGTACAATACGTGACCGTAGTTAAAAATAGGTAAAAAGCGTTTTATTTAAAATTTTTTAAATGTTTGCTACTATTATTGCTTATTTGATTCATAGTACTTATGTATTATTATTAATAAATTCAATCAAATAATATTTTCAATCGATTTTTAATGTACTGTACTTAACGTTTGTAGATCGCAAAGATACTTATTACTTGTGTGTTTCAGAGCCGCAAGATTTATGCCCACTGTTGGGAAACATGCAGCGGAAATGCTGGCAGACTTAACTCAGGTAGGACTGGATCCCAAAAAATTAGAACTCGTCGGACTCAGCTTAGGTGGACAAACTGCCAGTTTCATAGCCAAAAACTATAAATTAATCACCGGTACAAAGATATCTCGTCTCACAGGACTAGACCCATCCGGTCCTTGCTTCAGGAACCTGGGACCTGAGGAGAGAATTGATAAAGGCGACGCCGATTTCGTAGATATCGTTGCGACGAACATTGACGGTTATGGGATGGCGACGCCCGCCGGTCATGTAAATTTTTACGTCAACGGGGGCGAGTACCAACCTGGTGAAATTTTCTGGGTATTTTGTGATGTTATCTGTAGTCATGTACGGGCTTTGACAGTCTGGATTTCTGCCTTGAAGAACCAAGACTCGTTCATTGCGATACAATGTGATTCGGTTCAACAAGCAAGGGATAAGGATTGCTTTGATCGGAAGCCTAAAGTTACGACGGTGTTTGGTTTGAAAACGGATAAAAGCAAGGAGGGTATTTTCTATTTGAGTACGGATCATAAGTACCCATTTTACTTGGGTCAACGGGGTGTGTTTAAAGAAAATGATTTTACTCTATCTATGACTAGGCTTGCAAATAGGGAGAAAGTTTTGAAAATATAGGAATATTATAATGGTACAATAATGAAACATCTTTTATTTCTTACTTATGATTTAATAAAGCATAAATCTGTAAAAGCGTCATCTATTATGAAATTAGGATACTTCTTACTAGTCAAATATTTCATCATATATTTTCTTATAGTTTAGCAATAGTTCACTAGATGGCGCTAACCTGGATCGCGGAAGTTTTTCTACAAAAAAGTTATATATATTTACAAAGTAATAGAAAAAAGATTTTAAAAAAGCTTTAAAATACAATTTAATATATATTTATTTTAATAATAAGTTTGTTTTAATATAATCCGAAAATTCAACAAATCGCTATCATTTATAAAAGCGCCATCTATTTTTTAATTTGTGTATTGTCTGTTGACGAGTGAAGTAGACTAAAAGTTCTTATCGTAATAGTAATTTTCTTATCGTTACGACATTTTCTCCTAGATGGTACTATTTAACAAAATTAGAATTTTTGGTAATTAGTCTTTGGCAAATTTTTTTGATTTTCGTTGTTGACCTAAAGGTTGTACATACCAAGTCATAAAAACCAAAAAAAAAAAGTTTTTCGTTTTGACAGATATATTATTATGATGGTAAATAACAACATTATATCAAGTTATGACATCGCTATTGCGTTATAATTTAACTAGAGTGTATTAATAACAAAAATGTAATAAAAACAATTATTTTTGCCTAATTTATAAGTGTAAACATAGTTTAAATTATAAGCAAACTATAAAATGCCTTCAAAAGGGGGGTTTAAGAAAATTTCATTATAATTAATTCTGTTCCTCATAAGCCCTAATTAAAAAAAAAGTTATGCGTTAAACAGATACTAAATATAAAGGCATTTTACACTGTTTTAAGTAACGTTATGCAAATGCGGTAGCTGAACGAAACGCGGTCATTCTCGTACTTAATTCACGCGTGTAAATATCGCATGATTGTTATGCAATTATTTTAGTATTATCCGAGGTCAACGTTGTCCAACAAAAAAAAACACAAATCTCCAAGCAGCTGTATACCTGGGACGTTATATTGTTCTTAAATGCATTATTATGCAAATTTGACAATAGATGGCAGTGTACTCAAAGGGTCATGACCACAATGGCTATCGTAATTTGGACAAATATAGGGCTATCACAACTTTAAGAATAGAATTTTTTCCATTTTTAGCATGTAAAATTTTTCAATTTCTTACTATTCCATTTCCGTAGTGGGCGGATACATTTCTGTATCAATATTCCATTATTATTACAGACTTCTGTGCCATACTCGGAGATGAGGCACACGATTACAGACTCCAGAATTATTAATCAGACTTCTGTGCCATACTCGCCAGAAATTTGTTCGTCTCCGGGTGCTCGACTATTTAACACGCTTATCAGTAAATACTGTCAGTAGTTTCCGCGAGTAGTCCACATTTAAATAAAACACTTAAACGATTTACAACGCGATATATTAGTTAAACTTATTTGAAAATTATTTTTAATTTCGGCCCGACGTTTCGGATGCTTTGCAGTAGCCGTGGTCACGGGGAGACTAAAGATGGAGGATGTCTCTGACGTCAAAGTAAAATAACAAAAAAAGGTGTAAAGCGTCCGAAACGTCGGGCCGAAGTTAAAAATCCATTTCAAATAAGTATAACCAATATATCGCATTTTAAACCGTTAAAGTGTTTTATTTTAATTCTGTTACTTTTTTATGCTTGACCCATAAAGCTCGAAAATATTGCAGACACCATGTCTGTAATAATTATTTTGGCAGCCCTAAGCTAACAGACCAGCCTATTCATTAAACTTTGAATGCCTTATATTTCTTTTTACTCTTATTTCGTTAGCAGTATGAGCTATATTTTAAATGTTTGAATAAGTAGGGCTTAATTTTTTTATCATTATAGGGTCAGTAAAGAAATTGTCCTGATAAAATGAGGCCTATTGTTATTTTATATTGAATATTTTAACTACGGGCAATAGAAACTTATACAAGACCTGCCTTGAAATAAAATATATACATAACATATTAAATGTTAACAAATATATAATACAAATTCACAGATGGCGCTGATGTAGTAGTATTTATACCTAATGTAGGTTGTATGATTACCGATAGATTGAAGGACTTTTTTGTTCTAGTGGGTCGTGTATTCGATTCCCAGGGTCTTTTGAATAACTGTACAACTTTTATGAAACACATTAAACCACATTTAGAAAATCGAAATTCCGTCCTAATCACGAAACATTCACAGATGATCCACATGTTTCGTTTTTAGTCTATGGATTTCGATGTCTAATGCGAAATGGTATCTTAATTATATTTTATAGGAGTATATCATCTTCCATAAGGGCAAACCCAGCTTATTTTGTACTCTGATATTAAAATAAGATGATTTGAATTATGAGTTTATTTTTCTTGTTTTATCTATAAGCAGCTGTGCCAGCGATTGCGTCCGCGTTGAACAGTTATTTTGGCCATCATTGTTTTTGTTTTTGAAAATCTCTTTAAAAATTACAAACGTTACCGACCACGTCATGTCGATTGCGTCCCTTCGTTCAAGTTAATCTCAATAAATACATACGTGTATGCTGTTATTTTTTTAGATCATTTAAAGACGAATCATTCATTACATATGCTTTGGGTATCTTGAACAGTTTTTGCAGATGAAGATCAATATTTTTTTTCTTTTTTTTTTAACATTTGCTGCCGTTTCTTTGCTCCTATTGGTTGCATCGTTATGTTTTATAGCCTAAAGCCTCGACAAATGCTCTAGCCTACATAAATCATTTTTCAATAAAATCTAGTAGTTCCCAAGATTAGAGGGCTCACAGAAATAAACTCTTCAGCTTTATAATTTTTGTATAGATGATCTTTTGTTTTAACAACACCTGTCGAGGTCACGGCACTGAACCCAATGAACGTATGCGCATGCAACTTTCACGAATTACATACATAATTGGCATCTTCAATTAATTCTTTATCCATCCATGCGTCCTCCAACTTGTCAGGTGTACAAAAGCAATGTCTGTTTACGCATACAATAAATAACACTCTAAACGCTATCTGTACATTATGCGAGTAGTACCCATTTTAATAAAACACTTTTAACGGTTTAAAACGCAATATGTACTAGTTAACCTATTAACAAAACACCTGTGACAACGGCTGCCGGGCCGTAAAGAATTTAAAATTTAAATATGTTGGTTAATATATTTCGAGTTTTAAACCGTTGAAAGAGTTTTATTTAAAACTTTAAATGGCCTAAAATGCGTATCATTGGTAAGGTGGCGTAACGTTTTATTTAATGTGTATAGGTACATACATAGACAAAGCTGTACAGTATGTGAATTCCATTTCTAAAACCCGATAGCACATTGTCGACATTTGATTTCCCATAGCGACTAACGAGCTTTTGAAGCATCTAGATATTAATATAATTATGATTAATAGAACTTTTGACTATATTATGTATTTGACAATATGTATCTGATAGGTGTTTGTTAATAAAATATTTGAAGAGCTCGTTGGTGTAATGCAAAGCAATGTGTGGCCAATAAACAACGGGTCGTGGATTCGATCCCCATCGGGTCCAACATGTTTATAATCAATTTATAATTTTTCTGAAACATGTTGTATTTCGTAAAGCTGATTGTTAAATGGTCGGTAGGAATCTCGAAATTTCGTCTTGGCCACCGCCATCTACAAATGAAAAAGCTACACTATAGGGTTTGGGGTCTTTGTTTTGCTTATTTTTGATGACATGGGGGGTAGGGGAGTCCAGATGATGATTACGTCATCGATATTTATTTACTTTATGAATCAACTTTCTTATTTTTAAAATTATAATTATAATATAAAAAATACATTTTTAATTGAAAAATGTTTACGTAAGCACGGGGGAGGGGGTAAAAGCTTTGCTTACTTTTGCTGACAAGGGGGGGTGGGGGGTAAATAATTGTAATAAATCTGCTTACGTAATACTTGAACGGCCCCTAATATATCGCGTTTTAAACCGTTAAAGTGTTTTATTTAAAAGACATAATTGTTGTTAAACAGTTTATTTTATCATTTCCCTCGTATGTATGGAAATTAAAAATTAGTACTCAAATTACAAGTTAAGGCTGTTATTAGTATGCGATTTATATTCTTATTCTGATCATATTAAAGGTTTAAATAAAACACTTTAACGGTTTAAAACGCGATATATTAGTTAAACTTATTTGAAAATGATTTTTAACTTCGGCCCGACGTTTTGGAAGCATCCGAAAAAAATAATTTTCAAATAAGTTTAACTAATATATCGCGTTTTAAACCGTTAAAGTGTTTTATTTAAATGTGTACTACTCGCGTAAACTATAGACAGTATTTCATATTAAAGGTTACTTTTTTAGCAAACCTTTCAAAATTTAATCGATAAGTGTATTTGTAAATGAGCGATGTAATAAATTAACAATCAATTATTAAAAAAAAAATACGACACGTGCCGGACTTACACGGGTTTAATTTATAACATTGCTCATTTATAATCGATTATTAATTTATATATTGCTATAATATGCTTTGTGAAAATAGTTTTCAAAAGTAATGTAATAAGTTACACTTTTGTGCAAAGGTGTAAGTAAGGTAACTTGGATTCTGGTCCTGGACTGAACTTCTTGTTTAAGGTAAGACGTTTCACATTCTATTATAATATGTATAAGTGCCATCTTTATTATCTACAGTACAAGTGTTCATAATTAAATAAAAAATATTTAATACTATCTGTAGTCTACACGAGTAATACACATTTAAATAAAACACTTTAACGGTTTAAAACGCGATATTAATTAGTTACAATTATTTGAAAATTATTTTAACTACGGCCCGACGTTTCAGATGCTTTGCAGCAGCCGTGGCCACGTTGTTTAAGAAATTATTCAGACAAATTTGATATTCCTCCCTTTTTTTTGCGACTATATAGTCGTCGGATAGTCGCAGTCGCAAAATGCTAAAAGCCTAATTCATTC